GAGCTCAATCGAAGATACTAAGAACTATCACTGGGGCACCATGGTACATACGGAATGAAAATATCCATAAAGACTTAAATGTAGGATCAGTTAAAGATGAAATTGCCAAAGTGAAAGCAAAGTACCAGGCCAAGCTTCAAGCCCATCCTAATAGACTTGCGCAGTCTTTAACTTGGCACACTAGCCATACACGACTCCGGCGAAGAGACCTTCCCACCCAGCAATAATACTTAGCTAGGGACGTACTCTAAGTAATTAAGTGTAAATAATTAAATAAATATATTAGGCTAAGATTTGTATACTTGTCGTAAGTCTCTAATAGGGAAGATTCGATAAATAAAATCCCGTAATAATAAAAAAAACGAGAAGGAACGTGTGAGTCGTTTCTGGGGACACGACTCTACTTATACCCGTACTCAGTCAGTATATACATTATTGAGCTTATAATTTTTTAGAATTGTAGAAAAAATTTTACATATTACATTTTTTTTGCTACATCTGCTATCTACATCTACATATACAATGTCTATTCTACATCTAACATGTAGATTGTACATATTCCATTCATATTCTACATCTCCTCCGCTAGGGGTTGCTCGCGTACTGAACGCGGCAGAGTGTGCGAGCGAGAAGGAAAATGAGATGTGTTTTCGTGCGCGGGAGGGGGAGGTGAAGCAACTGAAAATTAATTTCTTCATTCTGGCTATAATTATGATCCGATCTGATTCAGATTCGGCAGTCTGGTAGATATGGTCATTCTCTACGATACTGCGTTTTTAGTTTTAGACAGTTGCTTCCCCTCCCCCTCCCGTTCCAGACAACACAACTCATTTTCCTTCTCGCTCGCACACTCTGCCGCGTTCAGTGCGCGAGCAACCCCTAGCGGAGGAGATGTAGAATCTAAATGGTACATGTAAAATCTACATATTAGATGTAGAATATACATTGTATATGTAGATGTAGATATCATATGTAGCAAAAAAATGTAAAATGTAAAATTTTTTTTTTTTTCTAAAATTCTTAAAAATCATAAGCTCAAAAATGTATATACTGACTGAGTACGGGTATAAGTAGAGTCGCGTCCCCAGAAGCGACTCACACGTTCCTTCTCGTCTTTTATTAAAGATATGTCCGCACCTGAATCTACCAATAATGTATACATGTTTTGTGATTTTATACCCGTACTCAAAAAAGAGTTAAGGGGTATATTAGATTTGTGGTAAAAGTGGATGTGTGTAACGCAGAGAAGGAAACGTTTCCGACCCCATAAAGTATATATATTCTTGATCAGCAGCAATAGCCGAGTCAATATAGCCATGTCTGTCTGTCCGTCCGTCCGTCCGTCTGTCCGTCTGTCCGTCTTGATAAGCGCCTAGATCTCAGAGACTATAAGAGCTAGAGCAACCAAATTTTGTTTCCAGACTCATGTAATATCACACTGCTACAAGTGTATTTCAAAATTTCACCCCGCCCCCTTCCGCCGCCACAAAGGACGAAAATCTGTGGCAAGCACATTTTTAAAGAGGCGATGAAACTAAAAACGCAGTATCGTAGAGAATGACCATATCTACCAGACTGCTGAATCTGAATCAGATCGGATCATAATTATAGCCAAAATGAAGAAATTAATTTTCAGTTGTTAACTCCGCCTCCCCCTGCCAAAGACTCATTCTCTTTCTCGCTCGCACACTCTGCCGCGTTCAGTGCGCGAGCAACCCCTAGCGGAGGAGATGTAGAATATGACTGGTACATCTATAATCTACATTTTAGATGTAAAATATACATTGTGGATGTACATGTAGATAACAGATGTAGCAAAAAAATGTAAAATGTAAAAATTTTTTTTTTTTTAATTCTAAAAAATTATAAACTTAAAAATGTATATACTGACTGAGTACGGGTATAAGTAGAGTCGCGTCCCCAGAAGCGACTCACACGTTCCTTCTCGTTTCATTTTGTAATGAAACAAAAAGGTTGAAATTAAGATTGATAGTGTGAACCGTTACTGTTTTTGTTTTCTTAAGGGGGCTTACTGGTTTTCCGGTGTGGTTTGCACCTGTCGGACATTATTATTTTGCCTGTTGGAGTTGGCATTATTACCACTATAGAATTCACCGTTCCGACGGTTTTTTCCTCTATAGTTTGTATTGTTGTTATTACTATTGTTGTAACGTCGAAAATTTCCTCTGAATTTTCCGCGTCCTCGGCTTTGGCTACTTTGGTAACTTCCTCGGTAATTACCTTGGTATCCACCTAGGCTTCCGCCTCGGTATGCGTTTCCTCTATATGAGTTATTACTCTGCCGATTATAGTACAGTACGGTATCAGTTTTACCGGTTGCATCTGTGCAACTGCTTACGAACTTGGAGAACTGTCCCGCTTCCATGATAAGTTTAACTTTTTCGATAGAGCAATTCTTTGTCATAGCTTTTACAGCTTGTTGGGCTGAATATTTAGTGGCAAGGGAAAGAGAAATTCCGTCTGCAATATAGGCGCTTTCTAGAGCCTTTGTCAATTGTTGAATTTCTTGAGTATAGACGTTTGCAGTTTTATTTTTCTGTTGGACGTTCAACATTTTAGCGTTTAGTACTTCAACTGACTCGCCTTTTACGTCATTTGTAAGCTTACGAATGACGTCTGCTATTGTTGTTTCTGATTATATTAAGTTCCTGGCATGTCCTTTAAGTTTTGATTTAAGGTCGGTTACAGCTAAAACTTCATGAGTTCCTTTAATGGAATCTACTATTTCTAGTGCTTCTAGGAAACTTCTCAGATTTTCGTGTTTACCATCGAAATCTGGTATAAGCCTGGAGGCTGAGCTGAGAAATTCTATATTTGTTTGTGCCATTGTTGATTCTATTTCTTGGTCAGTTTCTAGGTCAGTTTCTAGTATTACTTGTTCTGCTATATGTATTGTATCGGGCATAAATGATTTGTTAAAGCTGGCTAGACTGGTGTAATTGTTTGGTAAGGAAAGTTGCAAGCTATGTATTATACTGATTTTAAGAAGTATTTCTTGTAGGTTTGCTAATACTTCTATAATTTGGGTTTCATGTAAATCTGAAAGTTTTTCTTAGCAATTTTGATAGATAAGTACTATTTTATTATATTGTGCAATAAGTATTTCTGTATGCTTTGTTATAGTTTGTATTGTGATATGCACATTTTTATTTAAACATTTAAAAGATCTATCAAATTCTGCTCTAATTCTTACAATTGCTCTTGTTATCGGTATCCAACCATTGTCCATAGATAATCGGATATTTTGAAATAATTTTATTTAATTAATTTTTTTTTATATATGTATATATATTTGTGTTTATAAAGTGGTTGTTGCGTACTTTTTCTTTAATATCTTATTGTGCATTGCATACAATTTTAGCAAAAGCATTGTGGATAGCAAAATAATTATTATTAGTAATAGTGTCCACAGTGAACCTATGTCTTCTGTGTGATCTACTATTTCAAGTTTATTGACGACATTTGCCGTCGGATTTTCGATCTTTGATGTTTTACCCATGATTGAATTATTGGGTTTTTCTTTTATCTCAAAAATTATTTTTAAAATTTGATATATTTTTTTATTTATTGAAGACTAGCAACTATCTGCTAACATACATTATGATTAAAATTAAAGGAAAAAAAACGAGAAGGAACGTGCGAGTCGCTTCTGGGGACGCGACTCTACTTATACACGTACTCTGTCAGCATATAAATTTTTGAGCATATGATTTTTTAGAATTTTAGAATTAAAAAAAAATTTTACATTTAACATTTTTTTGCTACTTCTGTTATCTACATCTACATATATTATGGATATTCTACATCTAACATGTAGATTATACATGTACCATTTTGATTCTACATCTCCTCCGCTAGGGGTTGCTCGCGCACTGAACGCGGCAGAGTGTGCGAGCGAGAAGGAAAATGAGTTGGGATTGTCGTTTGCGGGAGGGGGCACGGGAAGCAACTGAAAATTAATTTCTTCATTCTGGCTATAATTATGATCAGATCTGATTCTGATTCGGCAGTCTGGTAGATATGGGCATTCTCTACGATACTGCGTTTTTAGTTTCATCGCCTCTTTAAAAATGTGCTTGCCACAGATTTTCGTCCTTTGTGGGGGCGGAAGGGGGCGGGGCGAAATTTTGAAATACACTTGTAGCAGTGGGATATCACATGAGTCTGGAAACCAAATTTGGTTGCCCTAGCTCTTATAGTCTCTGAGATCTAGGCGCTCATCGAGACAGACAGACAGACAGACAGACAGACGGACAGACAGACATGGCTATATCGACTCGGCTATTGATGCTGATCAAGAATATATATACTTTATGGGGTCGGAAACGTTTCCTTCTCTGCGTTACACACATCCACTTTTACCACAATTCTAATATACCCCTTAACTCTTTTTTGAGTACGGGTATAAAAAAGTGGATATAGGAAATAATTAAAAATTAGTGGATTGTAAGAAAAGGTATATCTTACTGGCTATAATTTTAAGGGATAATTCAGGGGATAGGGTGTGATAAAGATTATTATAATTAGAGCATAAGATTCGAAAAGGGTTGTGTTGAGCGTAATTAGACCTACAGAAGGGTAAACGAAACGGACGAAAGGTACGGGTAGGTCTAAGGGGAACAGAAAAGTCAAGCAGGCCAAGAAGTGCTTCTGAATCAACAAGCCCAACTAGGAGCTGGTGTACAAATATAACGCCGTTACAAATTCTTCGATGGCGCAAAGAAGGGAGGTCTAAAAGATGTAGCCTCGATTGATAAGGTGGCAAGATTCTATCCGAGTCCCAGTTAAAATTACGTAAGGCAAAAATTAACAAGGCGCTTGGACTCATCTGGGAACCCCAGAGGGACAAGTTCCTGTTTACTTTTGCACCTCAAATCGGTGTTGGCAAGCACACTAAGCGTTCGGTGTTGTCAACCATTGCACGGTGCTATGATCCTATGGGATTGATTGGACCCACATTGACCAGAGCGAAAATCATCATGCAGCGCATGTGGAGAGACAAGCTGCATTGGGATGAAAGTCTTCCTCAGCCACTGGAATCGGCTTGGACTGAGTTTTGCAAGGACTTCGCTACTGTGGGTAACGCTACATTTCCGCGTTATATACTTCAACCTAAGGCAAGGTTTGAGTTGCATGCCTTTTGTGATGCCAGCCTCCAGGCCTATGGGGCTTGTATCTACGCTCGTTCGTTTAGGGATACCGCCGATGAGGTACATTTGCTTTGCTCGAAGGCTAGAGTTGCACCATTGAAAACCCTCACGGTGCCTAAGCTTGAGCTATGTGCAGCGTTCCTGTTAGCCAATTTACTTCGCGAAATTAGGAAAATCGATACCTTCGACTGCCCGATCCATTGCTGGTCGGATTCAACTGTGGTACTGTCTTGGTTGCGAGAGGAACCATCCAAATTCAACGTGTTTGTGTCTAACAAGATTTCCGCAATACAGCAACTTACGAGGGGCATGGATTGGCGCTATGTACCAACTGAAATGAACCCGGCTGACATTCTTTCAAAGGGAGCAGCGCCTCAGGAGCTCTTGCAGTCTAGGTTGTGGATGAATGGACCTTCTTTCTTGCAAGGCGAAAGAAGTAACTGGCCTGAACGTTGTTCGCCCGAACTCAGTCTTCCGGAAATTAGGCATCGAGTATTGCTGTCGTCTGAGCGTGTCGACATCTCGCTTTCGTTTAAGCACATTAACTCATTCGGAGTCATGATGCGCATTTTCGGATATGTTCATAAGTTCGTCAGCAAGAAAAGGTCACTTGATCTCTCGTCTGAAGACCTTCGCAAAGGATCGCACTTGTTGTGTCGCATCGTTCAACGCGCCCACCTTCATCCCGAGTACCGTGCTCTGCGGAAGGGGAACTGTGTGGAGTCCTCCAGCAGCATTATATCTCTCTCGCCTTTCATAGATGACGTTGGTTTGATTCGTGTTGGTGGTCGCTTGCGGCACTCAACTCTTGGCTTCGATGCACGCCACCCAATAATTTTGCCCAGGGATCATCCATTGACGTTCGCCATCATCATGCACTTTCATCGGAAGCATCACCATGCTGGGCCGCAGTCTCTACTGGGATCTATTCGCTTGCAGTTCTGGCCCATCGGCGGCATGAAAACTGTTGCTCGAGCGTTGCGGAAATGCATCATCTGCTGCAGGTCCAGACCTCGTCTTGTGGAACACATAATGGCTGACCTACCGAAGGATCGAGTGCAGGATTCGCCTGCATTCAGCGTCACTGGAATCGATTACTGTGGTCCCTTCTATTACAAGCCAGATGGCCGCACTCGAACGCCTACAAAATGCTACATCAGCGTCTTCATCTGTTTTGCAACAAAGGCCGTTTGGTTGGAATTAGTGAAGGACCTCACAACTGCTGGATTTTTGAGTGCCCTCAAACGCTTCGTTGCCACGCGCGGCATACCCCGATGCATTTGGTCGGACAATGCCACCAATTTTGTGGGCGCAAGGAACGAGTTGGAGGACCTTCGGCGGCTGTTTATGAGCGAGAAGCATCGTGATGCAGTTCATAATCATTGCATCAACAATGGCTTCAATTGGAAGTTTATCCCGCCTCGCTCACCCCACTTCGGGGGCTTGTGGGAGGCAGCAGTGAAGATGGCCAAGCAGCATTTATATCGCTCCCTGGGATCGTCACTCTTTGGTTTTGACGAGCTGCGGACATTGGTCTGCCAAATCCAGGCTGTAATAAATTCTCGTCCTCTTGTCGCAATTTCAGAAAACCCTGAAGATCTTGGCGTCCTTACACCAGGACATTTTCTAATTGGTCGTCCGCTGATGGAGTTTCCCGAGCCAGATGTTACAAATCTGAACTTTAACAGACTAGATTGCTGGCAAAGAGTCGCCTGTGCTCAGCAGATCTTTTGGAAGCGTTGGAGTGAGGAGTATTTGACTCTGCTACAACAACGTGCCTAATGGCGCACACCGCAGCCATCGATCCAAGTCAACGACATCGTCTGTATAAAGGACGAAAACTTGCCGCCGTTGAAGTGGCCATTAGCACGGGTGATCGACATCATCGCTGGAGCTGATGGCACTGTGCGAGTTGCCGTCCTGAGAACACCGTCTGGAACCACTCGTCGAGCTGTCAACAAGCTGTGCGTCCTACCCGTTGAGGATCCTGTTAAAAGCCCTAGTCTTTCAACGGGGGGAGTATGTTCGGAGCAGCAGCCGATAATAGTTCTTCTTAATATCATATAGTCATACATCATCTCTTATACTGCTTATACTTGTCGCTCTCTCAGTACGCTCCCGTACACACGCACATATGCTAGTACTGCTTATAGTGCATTGCTTCGCCCTGTTCTCGGTTCAGTCCAAAGATTCGTCGAACGCATCGCATCGAGTCGTAGTTCACGGCCACGGCCTCAAACCATTTGTAACCCGTCGTGAAAATAAAACCCATTTGTAAACTTAACCAACTGAGTAAATTATTGTAAATGTGGAGTCAGAGTTGCCGAAAAAGCTCGGCAGCTTCCAACATTAGTCTTTATTTCATACATTTTTACAACAACTTTCTAAAGTCACCTAAAACAGACAAGAATTGCCTATTTCGATTATTTTTGCTTATATTGTTCGTATTTCAATAGTATCAGTCTTTATTTCAGACATTTTTACAAAAACTTTCTAAAGTCCCCTGAAACAGACAAGAATTGCCTATTTCGATTATATTTGCTTATATTGTTCGAATTTCAATAATCTCAGTCTTTATTTCAGACATTTTTACAACAACTTTCTAAAGTCTCCCAAAGAAGACACGCATTGCTTATTTCGATTATTTTTGCTAATATTGTTCGAATTTCAATAATATCAGTCTTTATCAAAAACATTTTTACAAACAAGTTTCAAAGTCACCCACTCAGACAAAAAATGCATATTTTTGCCTTAATGATTAAATTTTTACAACTTTTAAAGGTCGCCCAAATCAAAAAATAGTAGCTTATTTAGCTCATATTTGCTTATATTGTTCGAATTTCCATACTATCAGTCTTTATTTCAGACATTTTTACAACACCTTTCTAAAGTCTCCCAAAGCAGACAAGCATAGCTCATTTCGATTACTTTTGCTTATATTGTTCGATTTCCAATAATACTAGTCAAGAATACTAGTCAGACAAGAATTGCCTATTTCGATTATATTTACTTATATTGTTCGAATTTCAATAATCTCAGTCTTTATTTCAGACATTTTTACAACAACATTCTAAAGTCTCCCAAAGAAGACAAGCATTGCTTATTTCGATTATTTTTGCTTATATTGTTCGAATTTCCATACTATCAGTCTTTATTTCAGACATTTTTACAACAACTTTCTAAAGTCCCCTGAATCAGTCTTTATAAAAAACATTTTTACAAACAAGTTTCAAAGTCACCCACTCAGACAAAAAATGCATATTTTTGCTTAATAATACAATTTTTACAACTTTTAAAGGTCGCCCAAATCAGAAAATAAATGCTTATCTAGCTTTAATTTGCTTATATTGTTCGAATTCCAATAATATTAGTCTTTATTTCAGACATTTTTACAACAACTTTCTAAAGTCACATAAAACAGACAAGAATTGCCTATTTCGATTATTTTTGCTTATATTGTTCGTATTTCAATAGTATCAGTCTTTATTTCAGACATTTTACAACAACTTTCTAAAGTCTCCAAAAGAAAACAAGAATTGTCTATTTCGATTACATTTCCTTATATTGTTTGAAATTCAATAATATCAGTCTTTATAAAAAACATTTTTACAAACAAGTTTCAAAGTCACCCACTCAGATAAAAAATGCATATTTTTGCCTTAATAATTACATTTTAACAACTTTTAAAGGTCGCCCAAATCAGAAAATAGTAGCTTATTTAGCTCATATTTGCTTATATTTTTCGAATTTCCATACTATCAGTCTTTATTTCAGACATTTTTACAACAACTTTCTAAAGTCCCCTGAAACAGACAAGAATTGCCTATTTCGATTATATTTGCTTATATTGTTCGAATTTCAATAATCTCATTCTTTATTTCAGACATTTTTACAACAACTTTCTAAAGTCTCCCAAAGCAGACAAGCATAGCTCATTTCGATTACTTTTGCTTATATTGTTCGATTTCCAATAATATTAGTCTTTATTTCATACATTTTTACAACAACTTTCTAAAGTCACCTAAAACAGACAAGAATTGCCTATTTCGATTATTTTTGCTTATATTGTTCGTATTTCAATAGTATCAGTCTTTATTTAAGACATTTTTACAACAACTTTCTAAAGTCTCCCAAAGCAGACAAGCATAGCTTATTTCTATTACTTTTGCTTATATTGTTCGAATTTCAATAATATCAGTCTTTATCAAAAACATTTTTACAAACAAGTTTCAAAGTCACCCACTCAGACAAAAAATGCATATTTTTGCTTAATAATTAAATTTTTACAACTTTTAAAGGTCGCCCAAATCAGAAAATAAATGCTTATCTAGCTTTTATTTGCTTATATTGTTCGAATTCCAATAATATTAGTCTTTATTTCAGACATTTTTACAACAACTTTCTAAAGTCAACTAAAACAGACAAGAATTGCCTATTTCGATTATTTTTGCTTATATTGTTCGTATTTCAATAGTATCAGTCTTTATTTCAGACATTTTACAACAACTTTCTAAAGTCTCCCAAAGAAAACAAGAATTGTCTATTTCGATTACATTTCCTTATATTGTTCGAAATTCAATAATATCAGTCTTTATCAAAAACATTTTTACAAACAAGTTTCAAAGTCACCCACTCAGACAAAAAATGCATATTTTTGCTTAATAATACAGTTTTTAAAACTTTTAAAGGTCGCCCAAATCAGAAAATAAATGCTTATCTAGCTTATATTTGCTTATATTGTTCGAATTCCAATAATATTAGTCTTTATTTCAGACATTTTTACAACAACTTTCTAAAGTCAACTAAAACAGACAAGAATTGCCTATTTCGATTATTTTTGCTTATATTGTTCGTATTTCAATAGTATCAGTCTTTATTTCAGACATTTTACAACAACTTTCTAAAGTCTCCCAAAGAAGACACGCATTGCTTATTCGATTATTTTTGCTAATATTGTTCGAATTTCAATAATATCAGTCTTTATCAAAAACATTTTTACAAACAAGTTTCAAAGTCACCCACTCAGACAAAAAATGCATATTTTTGCCTTAATAATTAAATTTTTACAACTTTTAAAGGTCGCCCAAATCAAAAAATAGTAGCTTATTTAGCTCATATTTGCTTATATTGTTCGAATTTCCATACTATCAGTCTTTATTTCAGACATTTTTACAACTTTCTAAAGTCACCTACAACAGACAAGAATTGCCTATTTCGATTATATTTGCTTATATTGTTCGAATTTCAATAATATCAGTCTTTATTTCAGACATTTTTACAACAACTTTCTAAAGTCTCCCAAAGAAGACAAGCATTGCTTATTTCGATTATATTTCCTTATATTGTTCGAAATTCAATAATATCAGTCTTCATAAAAAACATTTTTACAAACAAGTTTCAAAGTCACCCACTCAGACAAAAAATGCGTATTTTTGCTTAATAATACAATTTTTACAACTTTTAAAGGTCGCCCAAATCAGAAAATAAATGCTTATCTAGCTTTTATTTGCTTATATTGTTCGAATTCCAATAATATTAGTCTTTATTTCAGACATTTTTACAACAACTTTCTAAAGTCAACTAAAACAGACAAGAATTGCCTATTTCGATTATTTTTGCTTATATTGTTCGTATTTCAATAGTATCAGTCTTTATTTCAGACATTTTACAACAACTTTCTAAAGTCTCCCAAAGAAAACAAGAATTGTCTATTTCGATTACATTTCCTTATATTGTTCGAAATTCAATAATATCAGTCTTTATCAAAAACATTTTTACAAACAAGTTTCAAAGTCAACCACTCAGACAAAAAATGCATATTTTTGCCTTAATAATTAAATTTTTACAACTTTTAAAGGTCGCCCAAATCAAACGAGAAGGAACGTGCGAGTCGCTTCTGGGGACGCGACTCTACTTATACCCGTACTCAGTCAGTATATACATTATTGAGCTTATGATTTTTTAGAATTTTAGAAAAAAAAAAATTTTACATTTTACATTTTTTTGCTACATCTGCTATCTACATCTACATATACAATGTATATTTTACATCTAACATGTAGATTCTAGATGTACCATTCATATTCTACATCTCCTCCGCTAGGGGTTGCTCGCGCACTGAACGCGGCAGAGTGTGCGAGCGAGAAGGAAAATGACTTGCGTTGTCGTTTGCGGGAGGGTGGACAGGGGAAGCAACTGAAAATTAATTTCTTCATTCTGGCTATAATTATGATCCGATCTGATTCAGATTCGGCAGTCTGGTAGATATGGTCATTCTCTACGATACTGCGTTTTTAGTTTTATCGTATCTTTAAAACTGTGCCTGCCACAGATTTTCGTCCTTTGTGGGGGCGGAAGGGGGCGGGGCGAAATTTTGAAATACACTTGTAGCAGTGTGATATCACATGAGTCTGGAAACAAAATTTGGTTGCTCTAGCTTTGATAGTCTCTGAGATCCAGGCGCTCATCAAGACGGACAGACGGACAGACGGACAGACGGACGGACAGACGGACATGGCTATATCGACTCGTCTATTGATGCTGATCAAGAATATATATACTTTATGGGGTCGGAAACGTTTCCTTCTCTGCGTTGCACACATCCACTTTTACCACAAATCTAATATACCCCTTAACTCTTTTTTGAGTACGGGTATAAAAATTGTTTTTGGACCGACTCGAGAATGGACTGTTGCTCCTTGTACTGTGGACTCCACACACAAGAACAACATTTCAGAATCGGACGAACCAAGGAGACGTACAGTGTTTTGGTGACATACGGG